TATTCCTTAGCCTCCCTAATTTCTGCCTCTTCCTCTAATCTTTCGCTTTTGAGATAACTACCTATGAATTTCGTTCTTTGGCCATTTTTTCCTCAAAGTTGATATTCTCCTACCCAGCTTTATTAACACAGATTGATTTCTATCTCGATTCTATAATATACCGAAGCATCATTTCGTTTTGCCTTCATCCCTAAGCTGACTTGTTTTTTTCGATACAATGTCAGTTGATCCTCTTGGTGTTCATGTTCTTAGTGGTATTCAAAACATAGAGCAGTCACGTCATGACCACTTTTTGGACCTAAATAAAAAGACTTGTACAGTCAATTCAGAAATTACACAAGTTGGGCAAGATGACGATTCGGACGATTCCGACTCACTCTCAGTTACAATTAGGCTTAATGGTCGTCTCGATTACGCTCTCAGCGCTATCAATTCCGTAAGTATTGTTTTGCTCATTCCTTCTCATCAAAACTATTGTTAGTATTTCTAAAACAAGAGGGGTTTGCCATTACACCTAATTTTGCTGCGTGCATGTTAAAATAGTAGCGGAAATCCTATTGTAATTGGTTGTTTAAGCTAAAATTGTAAGCTCATTTATTAGTGTACAAATTTAGCCTGATTTGTAAAAGTATTGATTTACAGGTTTAGGCTTTATATACTATCCTTTTTCTTTTATATACTTCCCTAATTGTGGGTCAATGTTAGCTATTTATTTTTATGGGCTTCTAAATTTTAAGTAATTAAATATCCTAATATGATACTCTGCCGTGCATCCCTCCAATAAGTGTTTTGTAATATATTAATGACATTTTTTCTGATAGTTTCTTCCAGGTATAAATTGTGTTGTATGTCCATGTGGTACGAATTACTGCTAGTTGATAAACGTAAAACATTGCATGCCTTCAGTTACGTCTCCGTACATTAGCTTCGCTTGTCAACTCGTACCCAATGAATGCGTAATTTTATCCTCAGCATTCGTCTAATGGTAGAATATACATAATTATCGATTTTTATCCTAAATTCATTTACATTTTTTATTCAACTAATTAGTGTTACGGGTTACCTTACACCATAAGACGTAGGTTCAATTTAATTAATAATCAAAATTTTCCACCGATAAATTTCATGGAGCTGCTTATTACTTTTACGAGTACCAGGTCTTTGCCAGGCAAAACCATCCCAAATGCAATCTTGATGACTCAGTCTTTTCCTTTCATTTGGACCTAACTCTATATTTTCTTGTTTCGCTTTGCAGATTACATATCTAAATGCATCCTATACTTCATCACGTCACAGAAATTTAATATCTTGTTCTTTATGCGCATAAAAATATATTCGTATAGTCATTAGCCAATGCTTTTTATTTATTAAAAATTATGGGATATTTTCCTCTCATGTTACTAGTTGATTTCTGTTGTCCTATTAATTCAATATTTGATGTACTCTTGCAAATACTCCAAACTCCAGACTTGCCATTATTTTCACTTCTCATGACGGGTTACGCATAAGACAATTTGCAAATGGGGGTATTCTAAAGCCAAGCTAATGTGATAATTTGAATCTGAGAACAATATTTTAATACATTCCTGTATAGTGAATCAAGGTTTATATTCGCAATTAATAGAAAAATAACCTTATATTCTTCTCTAGTTTCGTTTAAATTACACATCTTTTGATCGATTTCAATTTCATATTTTAGTTTATTTCAACTTCCTTTGGAGTCGCATAGTTCGGCCTTTTTGTTAGACCTCCAGAACCTTTGGGCCCCAAACCTTTTTTATTTAAATGTGGACCAATTCATTTTTTGCATGACTTTTTTACTAACCGTCAGAATAAATGATATATTTAATTATTTATACTAATAATATCATGCTACCCCTGACCTATAGTGTTTGCCAGGCTCTTGTGGACCTTTTTTCTGGCAAACTAATTTTGTATAAGTATCTCACGCTTTATTCACTGTCTATTTGATTATTGCTATAAATTTTTAGGAACTTTCTTTGACTGGCTCGCCATTATTTCTAGAGAGAGATATCAATAGGGATCGTTTTACTGTCAACGTCAGATCCCTAGTCTTTGCTTGCCATCATCTTTTGCAACTCCGCTCCAAATATTTACAATCAACTCTTGAAGATGAATCAAAGTTGGTCTCTTGCTAAATTGTTTCTTAGATCTCTCATTCTGTTTCTTAACTTGTATTTTAATTATATTAATTTTAATACGCTAACGACAGTTTTTGTTTCATTTGCGATTTTCTTAAAATGCATGAATATCATACTCGCTTGTATCGGAGCTGTTGTCTTGTCACAAGTAGAACTTACTCTACTATCACAATTATAACGTATTTCGCATAGAGACAAACTCTGCTTTTTTGTAGTTTATATTTTTATGAAGGAAGGCTTGGTTTCAAAGAATCTTTTAATGATTTCATCTGACTAGAGATTTTATTCCGAATGCAAAGTTGGCTGGAAGGGCTAAATGTGTTGGGTCCAGCAGAAATTGAAAGAGGATTGCCTTTTACTGAGGACTGATGGATCGTGCAGGCTAGCCTTTGGCTCGCCATTCGGCAACTAATGAATAAGGGTCGAGCTCTCGTTTGTCATAACATGCCTTTATATAGGTAGTCTAATGCATAAGTCATCAAGATTTATCTTTATCCAGATAGAGGGATTCCCCGCAACTAAAGTATTCGATAAGGAATTTTTATGATTGTAAAATTAGTCGATATAAAATATACTTTTTTTATGTTGTCTGCCATAATATTATTATAAACGGGGCCACACGAAGCCTACGATTTAACCTAAGATCAGCATGCTAAATTAATGATGTATATTCACTAATTTAGTTAGGAAAATTACATAGTTTTATCGGAAATATGAAGATCAAGACTGTGGCATTCGGTATGATCGTGATCTCCTTTCATTGAATAAAAGTTATTTGACCTTATTTTCGCAACTTGGTCGTATTATCAGGACTATCTAGAGGAGCACGTTTTGTGGTCCATAATATGTATGCTAATTTCCAGAATCGGACTGTGGATTCGGTACATTGTCAGGTTTTTCCTGCATCGTCAGTAAGCCTTACCACTTTTAGCACTACGCTACAACGCTTCAGAGACAAGCGAAGTTAATATCTCGAACAATTGCTTGCTGAACAATTGTGACAATCCTTTCTTTCCTGGTGTATTTACCTATCCTATATCCTTATATCGCTCATCCACAATCACAATTTCTTCGTTGCTTATTTAAATCTAGTTCTGGTTTATCCTTTTGAGCGGATTTAGGGATACCTATTCACACTATCCGATGATTAACTCATCTCTCCCATTGTGCTAAAAATGTTGACCCTAGTGCGATTTTAGTCCGCAATCCTCTCCCTCCAGGTCTTATTAGAGTATCTTGTTTAATATGATGCTTCTCTTATCTGCCTCTCAGTAGTCTAACTCGATCATTGACACCACATTCGTGCTGCTCGAGTCGTTATGTTCTACGCTGCTTCAAGTTTTTCATACCACGTATCTTCCAGCCTAACTGAGCAAGTCCTTAGAGTCTGGATTCTCAAGCTGGTTGGGAAACTAACTTGAGGTCTTAGATCCCCCCATCACCGTTCGGACTGTGAACTGGATAAAGCTTGTGGCCAAACCTATATTTCACGGACCACGTCTATGATCAAGCAGATCTACTGTCAACCTTAGAGTACTTTTAATTTAGTTTTAAGAGATGTGTGAAAGTGATTCGTAAGTTGATCCCACCGGAAGCTGTAGGGGGATTGCCTTGAAGCTGTAGTTGTAGATTTGTTTGACTAGGTTCTCGGTGCATCCCCCTGCGACCCCAATTAATCCTTGCTGAGCTTTCTTACGTCACCGTCAGAGCAGAGCGCCATACTTTACGGTAATTCACTAAGCACGAAGACAAGAAAGGTGGCTGGCTGCAATCATATCTACTTTTTATAGCCTAGCTAGATCCACTTACTGAGACATCATGTGATATCCTGTGCTTTTCCTGCATGCGGCTGACATGTCAAGTGGCTTCATTTGAATGGTAGAACGGATGCACTTGTGACCTAGCAGCTGCATCCTCCCCTAAAATATTTATTTATTATTTTGATACTGAGGTGTTGCCGCATGTGCGTTGCATGTATGCTATTTTCATGAGACGTGGTTTGATAAGGAAAACCCGACTTGAGTTCAATCAAGCCTCTTATTTAGCGGTACTTCTTGTTACCTCTTTCTAATCTTATTCAACAGTTACATGTAAGTTATACTTAGATTCCTACACTCTTTCCTTCTATTTAGGGTGCTGATTTATATAGATTCCCTAATCTTTCGCTTACTGGTATACTCTTCATATCTAGCTAAGCGTTTGGCATTATACCAGTCTATCTGGTGTCCTGTGGGCTGTGTTCGACCAGTCCTAACCTTTACATGCTGTTTTGTGTTCAGACAATCTTTTATGTATGTGTCGACAGGTCTCCACCACCTATACGCTACAACATAAAAACAAACACTATAGCAGACCGATTTATAGTGTCAGAAATTTTCTTAAGAGGTGGTATTACTGAAGACAGTGTTATTTTTCCTTATACATTTTCCTGATTTCCTAATTAAGTAATTCAGCTCTTTCCGAATCTGGCTGATATAAGATTTTGCCTTCATGTATGAGATACTTGCCGACAAATGCATGAGGTCGAACATAAAACAAAATATAAAGGGTTGTGGGTTCATGCATCTGTTCGGTCACATTGCATCCGTTTCACGCTTCATTCACAACTATTTCACATGTCATCCGCAGCCACCTCACTTTTCAGCAGCATGTAGGAAAATCATCAGATATCTCACTAAGCTGGCATGGCTAGACTAAAAACGCAGGTAACATTGCAGCCGGCCACAATTCTTGTCTTTGTGCTTAATGAATAATCGTAGAGCATGGTGTCCCTTACATAACGGATGAAAGCCCAGCAAAAGCCAGGGTCGTAAGGCGGTGTAGCGGTCACACAAATCTACAATCAAAGCTCGAAGGCAATCCCCTCACAAATTTCGGTGAGGCCAATTTATTAATCTCCTCTTCTAGCCTCTTCAAACGAAATGAAGAGTACTCCAACAAGAATTTATTAGGAGATTCTTCAAAAACTAGTTTTTTATATCTACTGATAGCCAGATATCTCTAGTCTCCTATGCATCTTTCATGTTTCTTTTCTCAATGCAAGATCTATGACTACTGTGCCTTAGTCTCTGGTCTGCCAACCCACAAATGTTATAGTTATTCTATTTCATTTG